CAGAACTGCTGGGCCGTTTCCCAGACTGGCGGGGCCAGGTTCTGAAGCTGCATGGGAGTTCCGATTCCTTCCCGAGGTCCAAGAGCAGACCTTACACCTCAAACCCATCTGCTTCCAAGCGGGTGCTCCAGGATTTGAGTCCTGGATCAGATTAAACTCTTCAGTCACATTTCTGGGATTGGGGGATATTTTTTCTAGTTTACTGTGTCTCAGGAAAAGGTGAAATCAGCTATACACCAATCTAAGATTCCATCTCAACAGATGATAAGTCCACAAGGAAGAGCATCTTTTCCTCACTATTCTGGATGACTGTAATAGGTCTTGGAGCAAACTGTCCCCTCCTACTTCCTGATTAGTCCTAGAAAATCAGCTTTAACTACTGTTACCTTGGAACAAAATCCTTACCAGTCCTAAAGGTGGTACTCAAAGGCTGCTTCAACTGGCCCCCTCCTCAGCCCCCTCCTGCTGTACCTCTCCTTTGCTGCACCTTCAGCACCTATATTCCCTGTCAGTTTCCCCAATGATCAGATGATCGGAGGCCTGTTGATGTGCCAGAGTGGTATTGAAGTACGTGAAGTTATCCACATCAGGGTGGAGGGACAGATGTCTCTATGGGTTCAGGCAATGCCTGTAAGAGGCAAATTTACCTCGCAGCGTGAGGGCCTTTCCAAAGAAAGAGGGCCCCTTCCTGCCGTCCTCTCGTGACGGGGCAGGGCCAAGCACACAAGGCGCACTCAGTACGTATTCGTTCGTAACGAGAGTTCCTTTGAAATCAGATGGGAACAGGCCATATGCTCTTGGAAAGGGGCCTGCATTGCAAGGTGGGATGGATGAGTGAGATGTGTTTTTGCAAGTTCTTTTCATCTCTAACATCTGTGAGCCTGTGAGTAATTCTCTTCCCCTTGGCCCCAGCTGGCCGCTTGCCTGGACTCTCTGCCAGAGCCCTCCTCACTACAGCCCCCTCTGAATGAGATCATAGAGGGTCTCCTCCTCTGGATGGATGGTTCTGGAAGCTGAAGTTGATACTGAAAGCAGGAAAGAAAATCTGTGTCTTGGTTTTGGATCCCAGGGATATGAGAATTTGAGCGGGAGGTGTGAGTGCACAGTTCCCAGAACCGAGCAGGAGACGGTAGGGAACTGATGGCTCAGACCAGAATCAGCTGAAGTCGTGCAGAGGCCGCAAGAGCAGCAGCTCCTCTTGTGCTCCCGTCGCCCCTGGAAACTTTCTCAAGCCAAACGGGGCACAGGCTGAGCATCAGGACCCAAGATAGGGCCACTCTGCAGGGCAGAGAGAAAGGGCAGCCGCCGGAGTCCCGGTTCTCATCCGGCTTGCCTGCTGTACCACTTTCCCACAGACATCCAGCCTACCTGTATCAGCAGCTAAGAGACAGGAATACCTTTCTGGGGAATGTATTTGTCTCTGATCATCGTCACTCTCTCAGACTAAATCAGTGGCTAATTTTACTGAGGAACATAATGTGGCCTTCAGGGTTCTGTAAGTTCTCTGTAAGTTGTCCCTGAAGTTTCTGCGCCCAAGGAGAAGTCTCATTGGTCAATGAAAAGGAACTAGACTAGTTACTGGTGTCATTTCTATTCTCTTTGGAGACCAGTTCAGTGATTATTATGAAAACTAGCTTGTTAAGCAGAGAGGAGAATCCAGACACAGCTTTAACTCTCCATGTGCTCTGGTGGGAGGACGCTTCCTCTTTGGCACATTCTACTCTCGTACTCCCTTTGATTCAATTGAGAGGCTCCCCAGTCATGACAGTAGGGGCCTCTGGACAGCTAAGAGTTGCAAATAATCTGGAGTTGGTTTCATGTCTGCTGGGAGTTAGTATTAGGACCTGAGTAGAATCTTTTTCTGTGTTTCTGGGACTTCCAAGGAGCAATGATGGGTGCCTTTGCCGTCCTAATCTCAATGGTTAGCCCTGGGAAAAGGTATGCGATTGGAAAAGAATGTGTTTTTAATCATTTCAAAAATTCCCTTTCTCTGTGTTTCTCTCTCCCCTTTTAATAACTTCTACCTCCTTTTGTTGTTATGTATTTTTTTTTCTGCCTCTTGACTGTCTGCCCCCAAACTTCCTGCATTGGCCACTGATCAGACTTCCCCAAGGAGCACTATGTGATTCGGTCCTGGGTCTGTCCTCCATGTAGCCCTCCAGTATGTTCCCTTTACAGGCCCCTGTTTCATTTCAAACTGGGAAACAGTCTATAAAACTAAGCCCTTGGTAGAATCTTAAATAAGAGCAAAGCAGCTAATGTGTCACCCCTTCGAAGGGCATTTATATTTTAACTCAGAGGAAGAAATTTGTACTAGTGAAATTTCAGATACTACGTTGCGCCATAAGGGAAATATGTATTTAAAATAGAAAGTACTTTCCTGACCCTCACAAGTCATGCCATTTGCAGGGAGCCTCGTCAGTCCTAGCTTGCGGCTAGGCTCCACTGGGAGACCTTGCTGCAAACAGAAACACTAAAGGGCAGCCACTTGAGCAGGGTGTTGGTTATCTTTGGCCGGGCAGGGAACAGCACGGGACCTGCTGTGGAGCCTTGGAGAGCATAATGGCTATTAAGGCGGGAGACCTCTGGAGCTCCTTCTGGGAAGTAGTAGAGAATCCAATAGAAGTGGGAAGCCCAGACTGATCAATGAACTCTAGACTGCTTTAAATTTCCAGACTAGAGAGAGGGCTCCAACCTTACTTTCTGCACTAGGAACTCTTCTTAGCTGCCTTTTACTGCCCCCAGAGACTCAACTTCTAAACCGTCTGTAACTGGGTCCTTCTTTCCCTCTGATTCTCTGATTTCTCCTTCTCTATGTCCTCTTTTTCCCTCCTCTCTCTGCTCCCCCATCATCTCATTTCTGGTTCATGTTTCTCTGTCCTTCTCTCTCTTTGTCCTCTCCCCTGTCTCCTGTGACCCACTCTTCCACGTGACTTACACTTTATGTGGCACACGCAGCCATCTTCATGCTTCATCCTGTCAGTGTTGAAGTCCCTCAATGGCCTACCTTTGGACCTGGCATAGTTAAAAGTTCCCAGGTGGTCCGCTCTTGACTCTTAGAGCTGTCAGACATTAGCTCTATAGTCTGTGGCAAGTTGGTTCAGTTGGTTAGAACTGGCATTTAATGAGGCCAGTGAAGGATTTGTCGTAACTCTGTAGGACCCTGCTAGTTCTCTTCCATTTCATGGCAGAGGTGACTTCCAGCTACCAGCTTCCATATTCACACCCTTGGTCACAGGGGGATGTGGCTAAGGGACTGTGGCTGGAGCAATGCTAATTTGCCGACAAGGGACATCAATCGAGATTATTGTAGATTTACGTTTTATATTTTTAAAGGTCTAAAAAGAGTCTGAACTCGATCTTGTAGGCAGAATTCAGGCCCAGACAGACCTGGACTCAGATTCTGGCTCTCTTCCTCATTAGTTCCATGACCTTAGCCTAGTTACTTAACTTTTCTGTGCCTAAGTTTCCCTTAGCTGCGAAACAAGGATAACATTAAAACTGCAACAGTGGTTTGGCCTCTTTCAGCCGTCCTTTGCCTTTCAGCCACTCCTTTCTCTTCCTCTTCAGTTACTAGGTCTATTCTGTTATACCATTTTTCTTCTTAATTGTCCTTTTATTTTCGACAGCGCCTCTGGAAATTCCCCTCCTCCTTTCCCCTCCCCTCCCCCTCCCCTCCTCTCCTCTCCTGTCTTCTTTCCGTTTTGTGCTTCTCTTTCCATTTTTGTGACTCTTAGTCTGTTCCTCATTCTTAGATTCTTCCTTTCTCCTTTATCATCTTCTCACTGATTTTTTACTTCCTTCCCAAGGCACATTTTCTGATCCACTTACCCCTGTCATTCACTATTCCTGGGCCCTTAGTGGCTTCCGGGAGAGTGTGCAGCTCTTAATTATTTATAAGCATGAGAGAATAATTACAGAAATGATTTAATTACTTTTTTTTTTTTTGCATAGATCCTAAAAGCACCTGCTGGGCTAGATGATGGTGGAGTAGGAGCATATAAGCAGGCCCACTTAATATGAGGAAAAGGGTTGGTTTCAGATAAGGATGTAGCTAGAGTCTAGAGAAGATTTAATCTCATTTGTCAAAGAACTGAAAAAAAAAAAACAGCACAGTTGTCAATCATACATAGCTAGGCTTATATAAAATGGGAGATATATGTCACCAATATCTGAATTAAGGAAGAAAGATGGGGCTAATTTGAAAAATCATTTTGAATCATATAGGCAGTATGGTAGATGGAATACTCTTGCTAATTTTGGTGCTGGTGGTGGGGAGAGACTTTATTCTCCTCTGACTACTCCATGGGGTTGAATGGAAATATTCATTTAGTAGCAGTCATGGTGATGGTAGAAAGAGCCTAGACTGAACTACAGAGTCAGGAAGCCTGGTTTTCATCCTTGCTTTATAACCAGCCATAGCTGTTTGCCTGGTCAAGTCCTTTAATCTATCTTAGTCTCAAATTTTTCATCTGAAAAATGAAGGGATTAGGATTTCTG